GACAGATAAAGCACCAGTAAGTAGGACTACAGGTGTGACAGCGATGCACAGCCCCAGAATCAGCCAATGCAGGGATGAATAACCTAAAATATTCAGAATTACATTCCATTAATTCTCCGCCTGGGTTACATATGTGTGGAGTTTGCATGTTCTCCCCGTGTCGTCGTGGGGTTTCCTCCGGGTACTCCGGTTTCCTCCCACAGTCCAAAGACGTGCTGAGGCTAACTGGAGTTACTAAATTGCCCATAGGTGTGCATGTGTGAGTGAATGGTGTGTGAGTGTGCCCTGTGATGGGCTGGCCCCCCGTCCAGGGTTGTTCCCTGCCTCGTGCCCATTGCTTCCGGAATCGGCTCCGGACCCCCCGCGACCCAGTAGGATAAGCGGGTTGGACAATGGATGGATGGATGGGCTGTTTGTCTTTCTGCAGCATAATCAACACGTCCACACTATTTAGTCTTACAAAGTGGAGCAGAAGTTTATGATTAAATCTTTGTCCATAAGTGTGTAAGTTTTAACTGTTCTCCAGCCTGAAAACTTACAGATTTAATATATAAGATTTTTCATATTCCCATATATAATTTGAATATATTTACACAGCATGTCACAAAGGGCTTTTTGACTGTATTACTCTGTCATACGATGTTATGGACATAGAACAATACTGTGTTATTACTGCATTTTTCCCAGTGACACTCTCATGGTCTCTGTAGATCTCAAATGAATATAAATAATAAAACCATAATTACACATTACAGTGCATCACTCTAATAAAATACCTGTTATGACAGAGCTGAAAACTGCACTAAAGCTGAAGCCTGAAACAAATATTCATTCATTCATTTAATGCATTTTGTGTTTTAAAACTGTACTAAATTTGTCCATTTCTACTGTTACACTGAGCAGATTAAACTCTATGGCATTTGCATAACAATCAGTGTACAGCAGAGCCACTGACCCTCAGGGGAATGAATATGTGATTTAATCACACAGAACTATGCTGAGATCCATGTTAAAACCAGTCCTCCCAGTGACTCACCCAGTGATGCTATCCTGGCAGTTGTACTGGCAGAATCAGTATCTGAGTGGACTTCACACCTGAACTCTCCTTTGTCTTCAGTCCTGACTTTCCTCAGTTTCATTGAGAAGTTTCCTTTGGGAATTTCCTCAGTGAAGAATTCAGCTCTTCCATAGTATCTCCCATCCTGTGACTCTGGTCTGTTCTCTCCATCATCGTACAGAAGCACCAAGATGTCACCGTCATCGTCTGTCTTTTTCCATTCCACCTGAAGCTCTGTCACATTAACATGGGTGTCCACAGAGCAGCTGAGAGTCACATCCTCTCCAGCATGTGCATAGACAGGCTCATCTACACCCGTCACCACCAGCCGCTCTGGAACAAGAACAGGAAGATTCATACAACCTGGCAACCTGACATTTGTGTGTTTTTCCCTCCTATTTAAAGGGGAAACTTATATGTTTGGGGTTGTTTTCATTTCAACATGTATCATTTTTAAAACTTGGCATATGTGACTCAGGAGAAGAATCTGGCACCACACTAAACTTGTAGCAGTTTTGTTACACAAAAATGTTCTGAGGGCAGAATGAAAAGAGATTGGTTTAGAGAGATAACCAATAAGATTGTAGAGGAGGTTGATCCAAATCATGTGACTGGTTGGTCAAACATTCTCAAGTTGCTTAGAACCACCTACTCTATAATCTGAGCAACAATGAGTGACAATCACTGCATAAAAAGAAGCATAGAGTTCCATCGTGACCCCAGCTCATTCAAAGTAACTTTTTTCAGTGTGGTTCGTTGAACAAAACCTTGGTCTGGATTTGTACTTTCTGGACCTGAACTTCCCACCTCTGGCTCTAATTGGCCAAAGGCTTCACAACTGGCTCTCAGGTAAAGGAAACCTGGAAAAACAACAGTGCTTGGCCCTTGAGGACTGTGATTTGAATAGCCTTGGTCTAATGGGTAAGGCTGTGTGTTTGTGATTGGAAGGTTGCTGGTTTCAATCCCCAACCAGCATGGTAATTGGATGTAAGTCTTACTGAAAGAACTGGTTTGTAGTAATATTGTTGTGCTAATTCATCAGGAATACAGTGTTGAATTTATTGCATTAAACTGTAATTTTGTACTTTGTACATTTATATCCTAATAATTTACACATTGTTCAGTCATGATAATTATGTTTTTGCCGTGTTTTTTACAGAATTATTCTGGCAACACCAGCTGCCAGTCTTTGTTTCTATAAAAACAAAATTTTTTTACGCTGCAACATCTACAATATATATATAACTTTTATCGTTATGTCATGATCAGGGCTGTGTAGTTATAAAGTTAGAAGAGTTTATTTAAAATTTTGGAAGTTAGGAAGCTTGTGTAATACACATTTCCTGTCTTAAGTTAGGATAGGAACAATAACTTAGGAACTGTTCATCTGTTACGGCTTTTTCCTAAATCAGGTTCTAACCCGAGTTACTATTGTTACCAAACAGCTAAGT